ATAATTTATTTTATTGTACTGTACTATAAATTATATTTTAATTTTCTTAATATTCATTAATATATTAATGTTAAATTTATAAGAAAATCGAATATAATGTTTAATTTTGTCTATAATAAATAAATAAATTATATAAATATTAATTAACGATCAAACTATTCGTATCTTTATATAATCAAAATCTCACTCGATAAATTATTCATACAATTTTTATAATCATACTCCATAAAATATAAAAAAAAAACATGATGTGACATAAAACAATTTCTTATTAAATATTATATCGTACATTTTCTTATACTAATCATACTCGCAACCACCACAAACTTTTAACAAAAAATCTTATATAGTTGGAAATTCATTAATAGGCATCTCCAATCTGATCGCTAAAAGAATAACAGTAAAAACACTAACAATGATGGGTCCATTGAACATTAAAAAAATTAATTTCAACTACACACTAAAAAACTCTTAAAAGCATCTAATATTATAATAATAATAATAAATATCTTAATATATTACACATTTATTATTATTATAATATTAGAATACAAGTCTTGTACTGAGATTATGTGGAAAAAAAATTAATAGCTACTTTTGTAATGTAATTTTTGTATATTTTGGGCCCAAATGTGTAATTTGTATTTCTTGATATATAAAATACGTTGTTATATGAAAAATGTGATTATGAGGTGTTACAATTTTGGTATCACAGCTTGAGTTTAAAAGATTTAGGTATTCAGCATGATGTCAAGACCTAAACAACTACTTACAAATCTTCAGTGCATGAAAATCTTCCTTCAATCGGCTTGTAACTTCAAAATATTTTCAATATTTGTATCAGCTACTCTGGAGTCTTGTTGTGTAATTTATACAGTTGATCCATAGTACCGCGTCGATGACCTTCTGTCTTTACACCGGCTAGTCTTTGATTTTGTCAATAGCTTTAAGTATTAACCAAGACACCAATATACAAAAAACCCAATAACTACTAAGTGTTGATAGAATATAAGAACAGATCAGTAGGTCATCACCAAATCAATAGGTGACCCAATAGTTATAACCATATTTATGTTCATTCATGGCTAGATGAACTTAGGGCACTGGATAAACTAATAAACATTGTATAGAACAAATTCTCTCTGTGAAAAAAAAAATCCAACAAGATATGATACAATCTCATTTGTTATCTATGAAACAATCAACTCCCAAGAGTGAACAAGATTTTCTACTAGACTTGTTCATCTGTCTTGAATAACACATGAGTTCTCCTTATGCTATGTTTTTTTTTCTAAAGCATAAAATTTAACATCAATTTTCAAATACTATTAAAGTAATACATAGCCAAAACCTTGGTGTATTAAGAGGTCTTAGCATTAGGTATTTAATTGATGGTTTAATAGTAGAAGTTGCCCTTGTAAATTACCATCATCAAGAAGAAAATTCAACAGCAGCTAAATTACCACAGTGGTTGTGCCTGAGAAGAAATAATTTATTGAAGTTTAGCCTTTTTTCTAGAAATAGCTACTAACAACATAGTTGGACCATTTTGATTGATTTGACCACAATCAGCCCCAGCTCCATAAGCATAATCTATGTTCTTTTGAAGAACTGAATCACTCACTCCAGTATTACACAGATAGTAAGATACACTTGGTTTTTCAACACCCAAAAATACAGAAACTCATTTGAGAACAAGTAAAAAATACAGAAACCTATTTGAGAACCAAGAAAAAATCTTTGGTTAAGAGGATAACCAAAGAAAGAGCAAGAACAGTCATGATCTTGGCCAAAATGGTAAAAAGAAGTGTTGATTTTGATCTAGAACAGAAAACCCATTTGAAAAAAAAAACAAAAAGTAGAAGCATTTACAAAAATGGGAGAAATTAATCTTACTTGAATAGCCAGCCATGGCAAAGATGATCACCATAGGAAGAGCAAAAACATACATGATTGAGGCCAAATTGGTAAACGTGATTAGTAATGAAAGTGTATGATTAAAAAGGTATCAATATGAACTAGGAAATTTGACATCAGTTATTTTTCCACAGCATAAAATTTGACATCAGGTATTCTTTACCCTAAACAAACAGCAACTTGTAATTTCACATGAAATATGAACCATCTTAGGTGGGTTTCCAAGATTTTAGCAACTAGCAGTCTAACATGGTCAAAACTTGATAAATTCAATGATAAAGAGCTTAGCATTGCAGCCACGTATGCTCAAAAACCCGATGAACCTGACCAACCCAACCCGAATTTAAAAAAAAAAAACCAACCCGAGGTAACCCGATGCATGATCAATAAAAAAATTAGCCAACCCGACCTTATTGGGTTGGAATCGGGTCGGGCCCAAAAAAACCCGACAACCCGATGAACCTGACATTAACTTTAGCTTTGAATTGTAGATGACAATCATGACATGACCAACCTCAATGTCAAGAAAGCGAAAACATCGGGGTTGGAAACGTCTAAAACTATTGTTGTTGATTGATGTATTATCATTTGGTTTAAACATTTTTATTGTAATATCTAAATATTTGATGAACTTGCATATTATCTTCAATGGTCGGTCGTATTTCAAAGGAAAGTTTCCTTTATTTTTATGTGATTTTACATTGTTTAAACACAACCCGATCAACCCGAACGGGTTGGGTTGGGTTGAAAATTTTCAAACCACCAACATTGGGTTGAGTTGTTAAAACGGCTCCAAAACGATCAACCCGGGCCGTGAGCACCCCTAATTGCAGCTGACATATACAACTTAGTTGCTTCGACTATTATTCTATTTTTGCAATATATGATTTTTTGTAATATGTGATTTTTTCTTGTGTGCTAATTAGTGATGGACGAGAATGTGCGTGTGAGATGGACAAATGAAATTATCAAACGCTTTTTAAAGACTTGTATAGAAGAGGTCAATAAAGTGGATCGAAACGGAGGTAGTCTTCACAAAAAAACTTGGGTGAAGTTGAAATTGGGGCTCATGGATTAGTTTTTGGAATTTGAACAAGTTACTTAGTTATCTGTTTTGTATTTGAACATGTTATTTGCATATGTGTTTAATATTTGACTACTTAGTTATGTGTTTGATATTTGACTACTTAGTTACGTGTTTTGGAAGTTGAACTAGTTGTTATTTGGTAATGCATTTAATATTGAAGTTTATTTCTATTTATAATTTTATTTATGTTTTTAACAGGTTTATCATAGATAATATGTACTATACTTCTCATTGTCGTATTCTCGCATATGTTCTACTTGTGACAAAGGCGTTTGAAAAGGAAAAGAGATGATACATCTGCAATGATTGGACAGAAATGTACGGATGAGCTACTTGAAGGTAGTGAACGGCAATGTATTGAGTTGTTGCGAATGTCCCGTGAAGCTTTCATTCGAATATGTGATCACTTTAAAACAAAAGGTTGGTTTTCAGATATCAAACATATATTGGTTAAAGAAAAGATGACTATCTTCCTGATGATTATTGGTCACAACCAACGTTATAGAGTGTTGAAAAACAGGTTCAACACTCAACACAAACAATTCATAATTTTTTTTATGAAGTGTTGGATAAAATATTGGAGTTTGCAAAAAAAAAAATCATAGTTCTTACATTATTCAATCATAATCCAAACATCCCTGAGAATAATAGAAGGTAACGACGAATATTTAAGGCAAATAATAATTCGATAATAGTTGTATAACTTTCCTTACTAAATTTATTTTGACTATTAGCTTTAATGTAGGGAGTAATCGGCGCTTTGGATGAAACTTTAATACATGTTATAGTCCCTATTTATGAACATTTATACAGAGAACAAGGAAAGGGTGAATATTATCAAAATGTTTTGGCAATTTGTGATTTCAACATGGTTTTTACATTTGTTGCTGTCGGATGAGAAGGAATTGCACATGATTTTAGAGTTCTATCTGAAGCTTTAACAAATGGTGCTATTAGATTTTCATTTCCTTCTTGAGGTTTACCATTGACTTTAGAGGTAATATATTTACTATGTTCATTTGAACAAATATTTTGTTGTTTTCAATTAAATATTATCTATTTGATGCTACATATAAATATACTCGAGAATTTATGGCCCTGTATCATAATGTTAGATATTGGCTCGGAGATTTTCGTCGTCAACGAGCAATGAACAAGTATAAAAGGTTTAATCATTTCCATGCTAAACTTAGAAACGTTACTAAACGTTCTTATGTAATCCTGAAAGCACATTTTCTGATATTGAAAAAACTGGCACCATTTACACTTGAAATTCAAAGAGAGGTTATTGCATGTTTTGCGGTTCACAACTTTAAACGAAAGGAAGATTTAAGTGATGAATTATTTTCTAAGTATGATCAAACCAACGAGCAAGGGAACGATGACGAGGATGAGGCTGAAAACGATGACTAGAATCCTGAATTCCCAAAAACACTTGCCAAAACTCAGCAACCAGGTTAAGGATCACATCCCAACAAATGAAGACAAAATCTTCGGAGTGCGATACAATCAAAACCATATGCAAATCAATAAATCATTCAGCCATTGTTTTCAAGATTTATGGTTGCAGCAAATTAAGAAACCTATAAAAGACCCAGGTTACAAACATGGTTCCCTAAAAGCAAGGTTTTAAGTAGGAATAACTAGCAATTACTGATTACTCTCAGAAAGGGCATCTAACACGAAGACATCAAAGTACCTGTTGATTACTCTAGCAATCTTAAACTTGGCTCACCATAAAAAGGATTCCAGAACCCAACAGTCCAACCAGAACCCACAACATAGTGCACCAAACACAGTTACAAGTTCGTGTGAAAACTGCATCTGGGAAGTCATTCTACCGAACATCAACAACTAGAATCAAACACCTAAAGTTGGTTCTTGGAAAAGCCATGTACTCAATATTAATGCAACCCAAGTACGATTAACACTACCATATACCTAAATGAACTCAAAACATGATGACATTTGCCTGCTTAGAAACTACATTATGTAACCATTCAAAGTTCAACAAGGTGATAACTTTATAAAAATGGACTACTGTATATCGAAATAAGCTCATGATGAAACAAAACTCATGTTTAGCACGACAACTCACAGCCTAAAAAGCAAGTAATTATAAAAAAGAGAGAGAGAAAGGATTCAACAACTGAAAACAGACCTAAGCAGTGAGCAAAACAGAACCACCAGCTTCCTTAATCTTCTTCTCTGCTGTCTTTGAGATAAGTTTAGCCTTAACTACCATGGGGTGCGAGGGAGGCACCATCCCCTTTCCCAAAACCTTGAAGTATCCATGTTGGGTAACATCGACAACAGGAACCTTATCGGCTGAAGCCTTTTCTTTCACGTCCTGAGGGACCATTGACCACAGTTTGTCGACGTTCACGATGGGGCAATGGAACTTGTTTCGGAGCCTATGGAAGTACCTCATACCGACTTTACCGAAGTAACCTGGATGGTACTTGTCGAAGAGGATACGATGGTGATGCATTCCTCCGGCATTACCCCTACCTCCGGGATGCTTCCTGTGTTTCCCGATACGACCGTGTCCGGCACTCACGTGGCCCCGCTTCTTGCGGTTCTTCTTGAATCTGGTCGTCATTCCACCCTAAAATGATTTCAAATGAATAATTCAAACAAGTAAACAATCCATATCTATACGAGTGTCCGCAATTCTTAGATAAAGCAATCATCGTGAGAACACGATAAGTATATCAGCAACAGATATGTAGAGCAACCTAGATCTGTGATTCAGGGAGCATATTGAGAAACAACAGTAAACGATACACGTACCTGAAAGAAAAACTCCGGTGACAGACGGCAGCCGCGACCTGTCTTAGGGTTCAGTGACTCGGCTAAGCGGAAATGTAAACCCTAACTAAATTTATAACGTAATAAGATAGTGTGTAAAAAGGCCCATGGGTCATGGGTGTATTCTTGTCGGGTTCGGGCTATCACCATGGGCCGGCCTTGTATGACGTGGATTAAATGGAAATATCGAATTCGAATTGCCTGTGTCCTAGGGGTGGCCAAAAATTGGACCCGAGGTTTTGCATAACCGGTCTTGATCGAAAAGGTGAAGATCGGTCAAGGCGAATCATAACCGGTTACGGGGTCCTGGTCCCGATATTAAAAAAAAATGATATATATTTTAATACATTATAAAATTTATAATTGGGTAACTCAAATACGCTTTATAATTTATAATTAAAATTAAGTTGTCTTAAAAAAAACATTATAAAATTATTTAAAAATATAATTATTTATAAATTTATTTTAATTTTCGGGTCGGGCCAGTCCATAACCGGTCCCGGTCGCACGAAACTGCCAAAAACCCCAACTGGTCCCGGTTTTCAGTCTCATAACCGGTCCTTACCGAGTCCGGACGATTTGTCCATCACTACTGTGTCCTGTGAAGTTGTGACCATTTTTAAAAGGTATGTTTAATTTCTTTTAATTTTCACCATTTCTTCCTCTTTTTTATTTTTTTCTTTATTTTAAATAGGAGTTTAACAACTTTTTCTCAAATTTCTAAAATAACATCTGTTGATATCCTCTAACCAGTCGTTTGTTTAGTGTTTGATATAAATAAAACATAAGTGGACAAATTAAATAAATACTATTTGGTAAGTTGGATTCGACAAAAACATATATGATACTACGATAATTTGTATAGCCATCAATAACACACAAGAAAAGCTATAAATTAGGAATAAATCATCGTAAGGTTTGTATAAAAGTCAAAAAGATAAAATTGGAAAGAGTTAAAAGAATGAAGTGGCAATGAGCTTTCTAAACTGCCTCCTAGTGATGAGTAGGGTGCTCAAAAATCCGATCAACTCAATCCAACCAAACATGAAATAATTCAACTCGAAACAACCCGATATCTAATCGAATTGTAAAATTTTCAAATCATATATATTGGGTTGATATTGGATTACTATTATTTGAACCTGACCCGATATCCTTTTATTTATTGAATTTAATATGATTGTTGAATTTCTATTAATATACACATTAGACAATCACACTATCACGTACGCTATACACATATTTTCAGTTTGTTCACATCTCTATGTAACTCATTCGTATACATGTTCAGCAACTGTGAACATATATATGTAAATTGAGAAAATTAACTGAATGTGATATACATAAGAAGTATGGATAAGTTGTATCAAATGGTTGATGATGAAAAAGAAATTATGAGTAGAGAGATAATATATTCAATGTTAGAAGAATATTTTAATGTATCAAAGTATCAACCTGACCAACCCGTACGGTTTGGGTTGGGTTAAGTTTTTTTCAAACTGCAAGCATTGGATTGGATTGAGTTGTTCAAATGTCTTCAACCCAATCAACCCAACCCATAAACACCCCTGGTGATGAATTCGATGTTGTAAGTTTTTGGGTATAACTTGCTTACTAATTCTATACCAACCAACCAAACACTAAGACACCACCTCAAAAGCATTGCATTGGGTTTTGTAGAAAAACATGTTGATTAGCATAAATTTTGCCGTATACATTCAATATGTGGGATCAAACTTTAATCTTCCTTCTGAAAGCAAGGAACTCTAAATTATTCCCCGAATGATTTACCAGAAGAAAAACACAACATAAGCTAAATGTCCGATACAAAATATGTATCAGAAAATAATTAAATTGAACATGGTTTGAAAACCGATTGATTTTACTTGTACCAATTATCATACATTACAAGATATTCAAATGCACCTCACACATGGTGCCAAAATTATTTCATATCACATCAAAATGATACATTAAGGTTCAAACTCTCAGGGTTTGTTTGGTTCGCAACCACCCAACCACTATCTCACCGCTATCATCATCACAGCTACCGTCCTGCCACCTACCCCTACCCCTACCCCTACCCCTACCAACCCCACCATCCCGTCATGCCCCCACTCCCTACCCACCTTACCCTACTCCAACCCACCACTAACCACTATCTCACAAGTGTAGTCATAACAGCTATCACTCACTGTCCCACTTTAGGCCCACCTCCACTGCCTCGCCCCACCTTGCATTCCCCCAACACCCCCCACCTATGGAGCAAGGGTGGGGGCAGGGTTAGGGTAGGGATGGAGGATGATAGTTGTGACGACAACAGTAATGACATGATGGTTTGTAGGGTGTGGACGGGGGCGGTGGGTGTGATAGTCCAAACAAATACGATTGATCCAATTCTTTTGAAAGATTTCAATCAAATTCCTACCAACCAAACGCATGGTTTGTAGGGTGTGATAATCTACACAGACAGTTTTATTCATACAAGACTTAATGGAAAACTCACCAATTAACCTCTAACTTACATATCAAATGTTCATTCCCGAAAGAGAGATGTCGTATGACATCAATTCCACACTGTACTATTAATAGGGGGTTGATATCCCCACCCCCTTACATCACTTTTCACCCCCTCCTCCTCACACCAACCCTCACTCACACCCTCACAACTTTTCCTCACTCTCACCCTCACATACTCACCCGCCTACACAATCACATCCCCCTCACATGCATCTATAGGAAGGGGTGGAGTTAGAAAAACCCTATTAATATTGTTGGCACCACATTGACTTGCTTGTAGACTATTGTAGCTACAATCGACCTTTTTAACAAATGTCGAATACATAACCGACTTGGTATATGGTTTTATCGTCAAAAAGATGTACTATAAAATCGAGTAGTGAACATACAAACCACAATCTAAGTACAAACTTCCACCAAAACATAGTCTAAGTAGATATTTTCTCTAACATTGTCAAAAACCAAAATCCCACGATTTTAATCCATTAGTTTGATAGTTTTCAAGATAAACGTTATCATTTTTAATCCATCGTAACTCATCATTTTGAACACAATTTTACGATAAATATTAATTTTATTTGAAATACCGAAAAATTAAAAAGAAAAAGTTAAAATCTAATTAAAAGGATCAAGCGGCAAGGGTCGGCTCGGGTTTCTCAGGGTTCAAGTCATTTTCGGACTCATCCTCTCCGGATGATACTTTCAAAGGCAAATGGTCCATATGCAGAATGCAGTATCATTTTTACAGTAATAGAATCAAAATTTCGATGCGATACATAATACAAACAGTACTAGTAGTACTAATCCATTTGAAACAGAGAACTTTAGCATACTTCCTAAACCTGCTGGCTCTAATTCGAGGGATTTTTCTATTAATCAATTTGAAATCCAGTTATAGGAACGAAAAGTGTTACCATTCTTCTACAATCTGCAAAATTACCAATGAGTTTTTGAACCAAGAGGGATGGTGTTGGACCCTGAAATCATTCCTCGGTTGCCACCAAAACCACCTCGACCTCTTGATCTGAAGTTCCCACCAGATCCCCCTACATAACATAGCAAAAAAATCGGCATCAGCCCCGTCATCCATAAAATCAACTACTAACACTTGAGGTATGTTTGGAGAACATTGAAATAATTGTGGAAGGTTTTTAGGTTTTACTTTGACGTGTTAGTAATTTACCCATCTTACGCTATCTGCTTGATTTTGTTCCACTTATTTCCGTGGACAAAAAAAACTCGGTCCTGTTCTCTCTCTGTCTAACAAACACACCTTATCATCTCTTGGGTCTAAAACTTAAAATTTCAACAAAATCCCAAGTTAAAAAATTACTTACTTGCAAACAAATTTCCTCCAATGTTTTCTTTGTTGAGGAGTATTTCACACACATTTCACAGCAATAAAATAACAACAAAATAAATGGTTCAAGATTTAAAGAGACTACCTCCAGGACCCATTGACCGGGTCATTGAAGATAACGCAACAGGAACAACTTGGCCAGCTTCTTGAAGGATCTTAATGAGCTCTCGAGCATGCTTCGAATTTGAATGCGTGAAGAACGTAATAGCAATCCCCTTGGCACCTGCACGCCCCGTACGTCCTATCCTGTGGACGTAATCTTCGAGACTTGACGGGAAATCATAATTGATGACGCATTTTATGTCCTTCACATCTACGTTCAATATAAGAAATTAAATACAAAATAATTCTACATAGAAAAACCAATTAGATTGGAATGAAATGGCAACCTTATCCCTGCATTCCTAAGATCTGCAAAGATCATTACATAAGATACAACACATTCATCAAATGTGACCACCTCAACCTTGCAGGGATAAGGAGCAGCACCACCACTACCTCCGCCAATTCCATATCCATAAATCCAACCAATCAATAATCTTTTGTTTGTACGAGTCAACCGGGCTGTCACGACCACCAACCTCATAACTGTGGATGGGCAGCGATACCTTCTACCAAGATGGGCATCACAATAAAATCAGAACAAGTTCAGCCAAAGGAAGATGCTTCACATGCACCTCCGTATGGACTATTTGATTGCTTCTGAAGTTGAATACCAACCAAATGAACCTAAGACCACAGTCGGCCATAACATGTTCAAAATAGCTAGTTTACCCTACCAAAATGGCATCCAACAGCCACTGGCACCAGGTAAAGACATTTCTACGGCCCCTTCAAAGAAAAATCACACGTTCGTTCCGTGATACCATGCGCCCATGTCCATGTAACAAAGCAGTATCAGTTTGGCATAATTCTAATTGCATCCTAATTCTATTAATCCTCCATCAACTCATCAGGGGTTTCGGTGGTAAATGCACATTGCACACATTGATTATAACTTCAAAAATAATTAATATTCAAACATTTCAAAAATTATCTACAATGTCAAGTTGAATATAATCTATTTACCGATTGAACATAAGTTGCAATGTATCTATATTTCACAAGTAAATGTACGACCAAAAAACCAATGAGTTTCTTACAAAAAGTAGCAGCCTTCAGTTCCACAACTAGAAAGATGTTAACTGTTATTGTTTGTAAAAAGAATCCAATTTATTGCAAGTCACAATGAACTCCAGAATACACTCGCAGATACGTCTTTAAACCATATAAAATGCACTCTGCTTTCAGAATGAAGAAAAACACAGTAACAATGAAAAGCAATTATCTATATTGCATTCACATTGTCAAATTACGATTTCAGAAATTACAGCAGTATTCTATGCAGAAAAGTACCGTTTCAAATTAGCACATCTAAAGCATATTAGAAGAAACAATTCAAATGAAAGCTCCGCTATTTATGTAAACTCCATGCCTATACAGCATAACACACATTCATGTTACATGAGAGAATTTTATGTTACGCATCATCTAAAATCTTCCTAAAAATAATCATGAAGAATCTTGATATTAAATTATCAATGAATATTTATTGCAAAAAGTTATGCATATAATATTATATAGCTCATATAAATCATGTAGTCAACCATGTGATTTAGATATCTATTATAGAACTAAAGTAATAATGTATATGTTAGCCATCATGATTAATTGTTTCTATATATAATGCATTATGTTATGCTAAAAGGTGGGATGATATCAGTAAATCCAAACTTCCTAGGTTAATTCTGCTGCACCAGCTAGCATTTCCTTAATCCTTTATGATTCTGTGCATTCCCATACTAGGAACTAGATACTACAAGAGAAGTCGAAATGATACTGCCTCCCTGTATAGATTCACCTCTGATAAGCTGAAAATATCCAGTTCACCAAATAACCATTCCTGCAATGGTTACACATTCCTTTTCGCACCCAAACCACAAATTATTTCCTAGGTAAGTAGACAGCAGCCGGCGACTCCCATAAGATGGATTTTGTGACCTAAAAAATATGTAAGCTTCCTAGCACACAGTGATCCTACCAAGACCACGGGCAGCAACATCAGTGGCGGTCATTATAAGACTCCTGCCACTTTTAAACTCTGCCAAGACCCAATCCCTTTCGTCTTGGCTTTTATCACCATGGATGGATAATGCAGGCCATCCATCCATTCTAAGTTGTCTTGTGACTTGATCACATCCTTTCTTTGTTTCCACAAATATAAGTATTCTGCTTCCATCCATCATTTCTTTGAGCAGTCTGATAAGCCTACATGAAAGAAATTTAAAAATCAAATACCCCCAAACTGGTGAGAGATGAAAGGAACTGTTTGCATGTAAAAAGGTACCAATTGATACCTGTTGTACTTTTCCACCTCCGTGACGACTTCAATAACCTGGTTTATAGACTGATTCGCTTTCAGAACAGCAGATCCAATGATCACCTAAGAAGTTCAGGTTTACAGAGGAAGAAATAAGCAATACAATTAAAGATGTAGCCTACATAAGGTCAAAACAGATAGCTCCATCCCTCGCGTAAGGATGCAGAATAGTAACCTTATACGGATTGCGTAAGAACTGCCTCGCCAAACTCTCCACCTCTTTAGGCCATGTTGCACTCCAATAGAGAGTTTGTCTATCTGGCCTGATCTGTGAAAAATGAAGCACCTCCAAAATTTAGCAAATGCTACTTTCTCATCAAAGTGTCAACCAGAACTAGTTGCAAATCAGTAAATCAGTAACAACTAGTTTAACTGAATTCAGTAGCACACACTGACAGCTTTTAGGTACTTAAAAGTACTTTCCAACATATTTGATGTTTACAGGTCCTTTACCACATTTATAGTTTTGTTTCGTTAAGGGTGGAATACCCAAGTATTCTCTTGAGATCTACAATTTCCAAAAGAAAATCCTTGAATACCATAGATGAGAAAGCAGAAATATTCATACAACTGCATTTACAAATGCAGTTCATGAAAGATACCATATGAAGGTGTAGCAGAAGTTATTCAGATCAAACACAAATAGGAGAAGTTATCATACTTGGCTGATAATTTTCCTGATTTGAGGTTCAAACCCCATATCCAACATACGATCAGCTTCATCCAAGACAAGGTAAGTCACTCTCCTCAAATTTGTGTGTCGAGCTTCTAGCATGTCTATTAGCCTACCAGGTGTGCCAATAACAATTTCAACCCCTGAAATGAACAGTTACATGGACTAATAAATTCCCTTTCACTGCACAAGCAGATGTCAGATTTACGAAAAAATATAGTTTGGATAGACTGACAATTACCGTACCTCTTTGAAGATCACGAATCTGCGGTCCCTTAGGTGCACCACCATATATGCAAGTGCTTCGTATGTTAGAATGTGACCCAAACTTTCCAGCTTCTTGTTGGATCTGTACAGCCAATTCTCGAGTAGGGGCCAGTACTAGTACAATGGGTCCTTCTCCATGAGCTGAATATTTTTGGCAATGATGGCAAAAAATAACATGATAAGCAAGAACAATAGGATTTCAACCAAAGCAAAGAAAAAGATATACTAACCCAATGGAGGTTGTGCCGAAACATGAACCAAAGCAGGCAGCAAATATGACAAAGTCTTGCCAGAACCAGTCTCAGCAATCCCAATTAGATCTCTTCCCTTTAAAGCCATAGGCCACCCTTGGGCCTGAATTGGAGTCGGCTCAACAAAGCCCAGTCTGGAAATGACCTCTAGACAATAATCTGCCAAATAAAAAAGCAGTTAGTTGACTAATAAGAGTCTGACAGATCAAATATTAGAAAGAAACAGCAATATCTCGAGATGCAGACTGATTACCAGGAAAACCTGCCTCGTGAAACATTCGGATTGGCTTTGGGACATCAAGACCTTCAACAGTAATCTCTCTCCGGCCACGGTAAAGTGCCACCTCTTGGTCAGTCATGGCCCTTACAGAAGGAGACTCGATATAGAAGCTCTTCTCAAATGGTACCAAGTTGCCAAAATCCTGCTTTGGTAGAGCTATATTATCCAAGTCCCCTTTAGAGCCACCACCTCTTCCTCCCCTCCCACCACCACGACCACCATCAAAGCTCCTCCCTCCACCTCGTCCACCACTGCCAAAACCTCTACCTCCATCACGGGCACCACCCCGAGACCCTCTGTCAAAACCCCTACCACCGCCACCTCTGCTCCCACCCCGACCTGAACCAAAACCCCTACCTCCTCTACCTCTACCACCATCAAAACCTCCATTGCTCATCCTTCCACCACCGCCTCTACCACCCCTGACAGAACCGAACCCTCTGCCACCAACAGGCCCACCAGCGCCCACATCAAAACCTCCCCTAACACCAGGTTCAAAAGGAGGGAACCCACTTCCAACACCTCTTCCACCGCCCACGGAAGACGGCGGTCCTGTTGGTGGACCTCTGAATGGAGCCGGTCCACCGCGGACATAGTTGGGAACAGCACCACCAGTCCCGGCACCCACGGCAGGGGGTCCCATAGGCGGTAATCCCATAAAATCACTGACATATTCAATATGTAAAAACAGAAACCATTCAATCAAAACTACCAGCAAAAAGTAACAACTAGGGAACAACCAGATACATGTTAACTTCGCATGTGAAAGATCTGAAAGAAAAAGGTAGATTTTTGAGGTACCTCCGACGCTGATGGTAAGAGCCGGCGTCCACAACTCTGGCGTCGTAACGATTCATGGCGGTTGAAGTAATTCAGAGATTGAAATGGAGAGAGTTTTCCAATTTTAGGGTTAGGGTTTTGAAAAGTGTTGGAGGGTTTGACTGATCTAGAGGATGAAAAAGAGAGGGCATGAAAGGATATATTCTGTGTTCGGGGGAAAATCTCTTCTTTTAGATATTTTGTCACCTCACCTTCCTAATTCATTTCTATTTCCCAATTGTTCATTTACAAACATTTTTTTACGTTTGCGAGGGATACTTGTGCATTACACCAATACTAGTTATTTATCTGCGCAATACGGTGGGAGTCATGAATTTTAACGATTTTAAAGTTTCATTGGTTTTATAAGATAAGATTTAACGATGACATAGGTTACACTTGGTCTTTACATATTAATACAATTTGAATAATAAGAGTTATGGTTTCAATTACAGACTATCGATGAAAAAAATTGTATGACAGTTTAAAATTCAATATATTTAAAATCCAACATATTTAAACGACTCCACAAATGTATTTGATTTACACCAAGAGTAAAGAACCAATAAACTTGAGTTTTAAGATAAACATTCAAAACCAATAAAGAAAACTATAAATTTGACAGATCATAAGCCATGAAAAGACAAAAAAAGATGAGTTTTAGAATGAAATTTCAACTGTTTACCCTCTTTCTTATCCAGAAACTCAGATTAAGGTTGAATTAATACACCCAAAAACATAGTAATTCAAAACATATTATACAGTGCAATTTGGATAGCTTAACCCCAAAATATATAGTATATATATAAATAAATAACTATAAAGGTATAAATCGTAAATATTAAAAATATTTTTCACAATATATATAATATATAATAATATAATTAAGTCAAAAACTATTCAATATTGGACTCATTTCGAAGGTATTAACGAGACGATTATAATGGTGTAATTTGTTAAAATAAAAATGTATTTTTTAAACATGTTTTAATTGATAAAGATTTAAAATGAAACATTTAAAAATAAAGAACGTAAAGTAAATTAATTAATTAATTAATTATATAGGTATAAAGTGTAAATTTAAAATTATAATTTTAAAAAATCGATTGTGAGAGGATGAGTGTATGTGAAGGTGTGAATGTATGTGAGGATAGGAGGGGGTGAAAAAGCGAAAAAGTGAGTATAAAGGGTATTTTGTTCCTTTAGTATTTTAAGATTTTAAGACTTTTGCTAAATTTGTTTAATAATATAGTATAGATTGTCGGTGTTATAATACGATTTTATGTGATTTTGAGAAAAATTATAATATTTTTATTTTTTTAATAAAAAATATATCGATATTAATATCAAATTAACTATTTAAAAGTTATTGTGTTATTTTTTTAATTCAATTTTTTTATTATAATTTAATTTAGGTTTAATAAATAAGTAATTTATTTTTGATTTAATAATATAATTTTTTATAAATATAATAATTAAGTATTCTGTTAGAACACAATAGTTATCTTAATTATATTTTAGATTTTTTTTATTTAAAATAAAATGTTTATCTTGTATTTAATTATGTTTATCTGCAGTTAGTTACACGACTTCAAATATGAAGTTTTAATAAGTTGTACTTACGTACAATTTATATGTAATCTTGAATTTAAAATAATATGCATCAATAAACAGTACTTCATGCATACAAAAATAATTTTTAAGAGTTTTTGTCAAATGCTTTATAATATAGTATAGATTTAAGGGTGATGTTATATGTTCTTTTTAAATGTTAAAATTAGATTAAATTATACATTAAGATTATAAAAATAAGTCTTGATATGTATAAAAATGAAATTAGTAAATAAAGGTTTTTCTAGGGGCCATCTACCAAAAACTTACTCAATAAGTGCTTACCGGTAAAATTTAACATAATTATTTACTTATCGGGTAAGATTTTTGTCCACCAAAATAACACCATATGCAATAATTTACCCGATAAGCTCTTAACATGGTAAGAGTTGTCGTCTTCACTTACTAGGTAAGACTCTTGTTCTTTGTTTCGTTCTTACTGAGTAAGATTCTTGGTCCTTGTCACATTCAACTAGTAAGGTAATGTAGCATGGTAAGTGCTTACTTGAGTAAGTGTTTAATTCCTAAAAAATTCAATATTTAGATCATAGAAAAATATCAGGAATCGACAAAAATAGTCAATCCATTAAAGTCAATTCACTTTTTAGATGTATTAAAAACCCAAATAATCATGGTTTACACAAAATCCTTACACATTGATTTCAGCCAAAAAGAAATTAAAAACAAACCTTACACAGAAACCTCTTTTTGCATAAACTTTCTCCATGAACTTTTCACAGTCAATCCCAAAAGAAATCTTCCAAATACATAGGCATATAACTTAAAAGCTAACATATTTCATGTCAGGTTAAGTTACAATTGATCCATACATAAACATCTAAACAAAAGATTGAATCTAAGATAATAATAGGCAAGTCTCCAAGCGTGTCCTTTGTGCTTATCCAACCAATAACTACATAGCTCTGAGATGCATATTATAGTTGGCGTATAAAGTTTAGTGACTTCATGGTTTGCGTGAATAAAATCATTTCATATCATACATATTAAACAATATACATTTTCTGAAAACATACAACATTGAAGGAAACGAGACCTCATAATTGTCTCATCGAGTACAAACTGATAAGCAGCAAGCGTTCATTGGGTGTGTATGGCTCACCAATAGCCAGTAACCTATTATGGGGTCGGTGTTGCCATGTCACAGGCATTCCTTGGTGTGTACGACTCACACAGAGCTAGTCATCCATTTCAGGGGCGTGCCTCCCCTTAAGTGTGTCCAACCAAAATGACATCTTATACTTCAAACTATGTACCATTTGTACAATTTAAACCACTTGAAAACTTAAGCATGCAAGATATGTTTAAAAACCATAAAACAGTTAGCATGCATGCTCCATAAAGCTCCATATACATGTAAACATATGACATGCATTTAAAATTGTCACCATGCATAACATTCACCACCACAAAACCATAACATGATAAAAATAACTTTATAAACATGTATGCATCCATTGTAAGTCTCATGAAGACTCACCTGATTGCATAGATTGACTACGGATAGCTCTTGACTGAAGACCTGAAATCGATGAAAAACCAGGAATTTCGACTCCAAACTTTGAACTCAGATTTCTCTCTCCAGTGGCGGATCCAGGGAATTTTATTATTGGGGACAAACTTAGGGAGTTGGGGTGTCAAAAAAAAATCTGAAACCTAATAACTCATCCGAACCAAGACGATTTGGGTTATTCGGTTGGCCGCTTAAACTGTTCAGTTTAATCAAATAAATATAACTTTTTCCGTTTTTTGATTACTTTTTACTATTTCGGATAAACAGAGACGTTGTACATATATTTTTATTTCGGTTCAACTTAAAACAAATGAACACAATACACATTAATAGTCAATAACAAGAAATCAGAGGGCAAGAAATTAGATTCAATTAGAAGAAAATTAGAGAGCAAAATACCAATATGCTATAAATAAAAGATAAAATAGTAGTAAACCTTATATCAAAATAACAAACTCAAGAACCCTAAATCAAATATCAAGATAAACTAGTAGTAAACCTTTTTTAATTGTTGGGGGGCTATTTGTAATTTTAGGTTAAAATATATATGTAAAATTACAAGGGATGCTCTTCTTGTGGGTTTGTTGGGGGCCTGTGCCCCCTATGGGTTTGCTATGCATCTGTCACTGTCTCTCTCGATATATGCTTATTTCTAGAACTATCTGAATGAAAATGTTCCTTAAGGAGTGTTCAGTGTTCTACATATGTATGCAAAAATATTTGGCATATTAGTTGAAAAAACGGGCCAATAGGTTGTTAGAACGAGAGGTAGCCATCGAAACTCGTATTTTGAAACAGATCATGAAAAATATGCCATTCAGACCCCTAAACTATCTGACATGTACATTTGTCCCCCTAATTTCACTATTTGGGTAATTTTTACATTTTACCTCAAAATAAATAAAATCATTTTAGTTTATTTTTCTTTTCCCTCTTCTTTTCATAACTATTTATTTACCTGATTTTAAGATGTTACAAACTTTAAAAAGTTATTAAAAAAGCGACCCTAAAACAAAACATTGTTGTCACCGCAAGATTTGGTCGATCCAATTGGCTATTTTGTTCAATTTCCACAAGATAACAATTTCAAATAAAAAAAATATATCATGGTCCGAATTATGATTTACAAGTTATGAAATAATTATGATAATTGGGGGTAGGAAAATCATGATCGGGATAGTGGACCAAAAGCTATGGCCCAGCTCCGCTGGAGAGGCCTCGCCTGATCTGAGAAGTGCTAATTCGGTTCTCCTAGGGATAAGAGACATAGGGCTAAAGAGAGAGCCAAAAAAGGATCTTTCGTGTATAATCTTGCATAATCTCGAATGTTCTCAGTTCCGGTACGTGCCCGTAAATGGACCTTTATGAGCTTCTAAATTGGAGTTCCAAAATTTATCATCTTTTAAATCTTCAAAGATTTCGATTCAAACTACTAGTAATTGAGTTATGGCATGGACCGTTAATAAAAACGAACCGGGATAATTATCCCGAAGCAAATGAAGTTGAGTTATTCTATTTTCATTTTAGTTTTAGTTCCAGCTTGCTTGGCGTGTTTCGGTTTTCGATTAAATCGAATAAGGAACTACTATTAAAAAAAACCACTAATTACACCTATTATTTATTCCTGCCCTTATAGGTTTCAAGTTTTATGTTTATATTTAAAATACCAATGGGCCGTCCACCAAACGCTTATCCGGGTAAGTGTTTACTAAGTCACGTTACCTCAGCAGATGAATATGATAAAGACCAGGAATCTTACCCGGTAAGAATGAGACAAGGACCAAAAGTCTTACCTGGTAAGTGAGGGCGACGACTCTTACCACGATAAACGTTTACCGGGTAAATTGTTGGCTACGATGTCGTTTTGGTGGACTAAAATCTTACCCGGTAAGTAAATGATAGAGTTAAATTTTACCGATAAACACCTGTCGGGTAAGTGTTTGGTAAACGACCCATATCTCTCTATATATAAAGAGAGAGGGAGATTCAAATACAAACCAT